GCACACTGGTACTGACTAGTATTCCAGTGTTTCTCTTCTCCCTTAGTTTCTCTCCTTCAATCAGCTAATGTGCTCTCAGTGCTGACAGAGAGGGACAGGATGCTGTGCAGGCGTCTGACACCTTCCTTGTTATGTTACTGGTGGCTGGAAGATTGTAATAGTGCACAATGAAAATCTGTGGATTTGTGTAACTAAATGGCAGTCTTGATCCACCCGCTGTCTTGTATACAGTTTTGGGGCATCTGTTAGACATGATGCCAAGGTACTGCTAAAGAAACCTGAAGGCACCCGGGTCGGAAAAGGCTGTACTAGAAATTGAATGCCATTTATTGAACTAACAGAGCAAGAGAATAAAGTGCAGAAAGAGTGCATGTTTAGTTGTCATGCCTCAATCTTGTGGGAACTGCTGCTTTTAGCCACCTTATTGCTATAAGTAAACCTTGCTCCATGTGCTTTAGATTTGTTTCATTTCATTATTGTGATTTCTTGCCTCACAGCATAGGATGATTTGAGGCTGCTCTGCCTTCACAGACAGAGTTGGTGTGATTTTTTTCACTTCGTAAAGCGGCAAACCGTGTAACTGAGAAATGAATTTCTGCGGGTTCTGTGTTTTCCTAACTGTATAGTGTAATATTTTACTTGCCCTCAGAGCAGTGTATCTGATAGATATAAGATTGCTAATTAAAGCTGATGACAATTAGATTTTATTGAAAAATCACCAGTGGTAGGATCGGTAAAAAGTCTTCCTGTGTGTCGCTATGGAAGCACTCCCTCTATAACCACACACTGCAAGATGTTGCTCTGTTGCTATCCAGATGATGCTAAATCTCACCAGCCATAGGAGTGTTATCTTGCTGCCTCAGCTATACAGGAAGCAAGCCAATACTAACAAACAGGCAGCCTTTTTAACTATCCTGCTGCTTCTAATTTTGACATATGGTCTGCAATGGGATCGCTAGTGGCAACATTGCTGTGTTTCATCAGTTTACCTGGCAGCTTATGAGAAATTTGTTGTGTACTCTATGATCAGATAATGTAATATGCAGAGTATAGCGTTGTACCATCTGACACAGTTTAATGATTTCCTGGACTCATTTATTCAGTGCATATTATTCTCACATGTGTTCTTTGTTTAGGTACCTGCCTTACATGTGTCTGCTTTAACCACTTGCCCTCCTGAGGATTTACCCTTCCTGGCCAGGCCATTTTTTGCGTTACTGCGCTACGTTACTTTATCTGACAATTGCGCAGTTATGCAACGCTGCGCCCAAATGAAATTTGCGTCCTTTTTTTTCCCACTAATTGAGCTTTCTTTCTGTGGTATTTTATTGCCTGTGAGGGTTTTATTTTTTGCTCTATAGAAAAAAAAGTCTGACAATTTTGAGAAAACAAACAAACAATATTTTTGACTTTTTGCTAATAAACGTCCAGTAAAAAAATTAAAAAAAAAATCGAATTTCATGATAAATTTAGATCAAAATGTATTCAGCTACATATCTTTGGTAAAAAAAAATTCCAATACGTGTAAATGAATTGGTTTACGTTAAAGTTATAGTCTTTACAAATGGCGGTATAGATACTGGAATTTTTTTTTATTAATTTATTTATTTTTTACTAATGTGATCAGAGACTTGTGTCAGGACTGCGGCGGGCATTCTGACACTGGGGGGAACTGACTTGGTGTCATGACATCCCTAGTGACACCAACACAGTGATCAGTGCTAAAAAAAAAAAAGCACTGACGCTGTACTTATGGCACTGGGGAGGAAGAGGTTAACATGAGGGGCGATCAAAGGGTTAATTGTGTGCAGGGATTGTGTTACTGGTGGGCGGTGTGTTGGTGCTTCACTGTAAGCACACTGCTCTGGATGGTTGTGCTGTGCACAGCCATCCAGAGCAGTGTGCCCGAGCCAACAGGGACGAGGACTATTAGTAAAGAAAGCAGCCCTCTTCCCCGTCGGAAATCCTTGGTAATGACCAGGCACCGGTGGGTAACCACTGGCTGGGACCCGGTGATTGACAGTCGCGGCCCCTACCCAGAGATACAAAATAACATATATATATATATATATATATATATACGTGATTTTTGCGCACCTTTGATGCCCTGTAGCAGTATATCTACTATAGGGTGGCGGAAATGTGGTTAATTAAGACTTGTGTTCTCTTCAGTCTACGTATTAAAGTGAAAGGCAAGTCATAACCTAACTAAGCTTAAATCTACTCCTACCCCCATTCTATGTCTGTTCTAGCTACCTTGTAAAAGGAAAAATGCCTGTACTTACCTATTCTGAAGTCTCTCTGGTCCGGTCATATGATCTCTCCAGTGCCAACTTCAGTGTAGAGGAGAGATCGCTGACAATGGCTGAAGAGCCTATGCGATGACATCACCCATAGATTTACTATGGGGCATCTGTTGTCGGTTTTCCCTCCTGTACACTAAAGGAAGTACAGGCACCTTTCCTTTTACAGGGTAGCTAGAAAAGACTTAGAATGGGACTGGGAGTAGATTTAAGTTTAGGTTTTCACTTTCCCTCCACTTTAAGGTAATGTGTCTGCAGTTTTACAAAATTCTGTCAGCAAGGATAAAGTATGTTTGGTTTTACACTTTAACTTCCATATGATTTATCCTCCATGCAGGGCTGATCATGCTAAAGAAATGTATCTTTGTCACCTGTAATTCTTATAAAGACTGCATCACATTATTCATAAAGTGCTGGTGAAAACCTGTGCTTTGCCCATGAAGTGGAAACCACAGGTTCACTTTTGTAGTGGCCTTATCAGCAGCACATATTCACTTTTTTATAGCTCTCTTGCCAGTAATGAAGAATATTATCTGCTACTTCTAGATATTGCGGAGCATGTGATTCACGGTCCTTCTCCTGTGAGACAGTACTTTTGCTGGGCAATTGATTGCTGTAACACCTGGGAAAGGACAGTGTCAATAGTCCTATGTCAGTTTGCAACTTTGAGGTTTTACAGGTTTCCTCTTTGCTTCTGACAGCTGAACAGAGTTGTGGGGATACAAAGGGAACATATGCTGTACAGTCTGTCAGCCTGCAATTAAAGGGGAGCTGCATGGGCAAAGTAAAGGTTCACATTAAAGTATTTCTGCCATGCTGTACAAGTGCCTAAACTAGCCCAGTTAAAACAGGCTTCATCAGATGCTTGCATATTCCTCTGTGGAGCCTTAAAAGCACCCCAGAGGCCCTAAAACCTAGGGAAGTGTAATATGAAAATGCTAACCTTTCCTTGTAGTGTAAAAGCTTTTGCACTCCTCTGACTCTACCATCTCTAGTGAGGAAGCACTTCATAGTGATGGCTCAGTAGGAAGCTGCAGGAAAGCATAACTTACACAGTAAACTAATATACATGACAAATAACTACATTTCTTTACAAATATAGCAACGTTTACATATACACAGTTCCAGAGGTTGTGCGTTTACTTTATGCATTTTGTGTTTTTTGATGGGCTATAGCTATGTAAAGGTTGTTGAATTATCTTTTTTGACCAATACTTGTTGTAATGGGGAATCCGGAGTCCCCCCAAATGGCACACAAGGTGAATCCTAGACTACTCTGGACAGAAAATTTTAGTACTTTTACTTTAAATACACTAAATGGTTAAAATTATGTGGACACCACTCAAATGATTGAGTTCAGATTGACAAGTCCAAGTCAGACATTGTTTGGTGTGGAGGAGCTCAAATTATTGGGGTAAACATCAGTTCCTGAACTCATAAATGCTTTTATTCGGCTGAATGAGCACATACTCCACAATCTAATATCCTTAAGATTATCTCTCTGCTTGAAAGCCCATGCATTTAATTATATGTTTTGCGGAAAAAATTGGGCATGTCCTTGTTACACTATACCACCCATATTTTCCTTTGGGATTCTGACCCTTTATCTCAGTTAAAAGCTGATATTCACTGCATGTGTTATATGTATGACTTCCTAACTTGCTTCTTTAAACATAAAACGGGGGTTAATAGAAATGAATGCTATGTGTATGAATGTAAAATCTGGTTAATATTACATAACCCTCAATAAGTATACAACAGTCCTGTATGAGAGATGGCTCTCTAGCAGTTACAAATCTGCAATAGCCTCAGGTGATGTGCCACATTGGGACTCTACAGTTTCTCCAGAGCTGTGTGGTGCAATGTCTGTCTTAACAGTAACAGCTGATAACATATACTACCTGTGGAATTACTAATCTGTATTCTAAGCAATCATAATGCAGTTGTCTCTTCTACATACAATATTTCATGCTAAAACCTGCTGTTTTTTTTACCTTAAGTAACCTTTTGCTGGCTACATTTAAATATACAGTGGAGTAGTTACAGTCCAAGTCCCAGAAAAAATCATGCACAGAAAAATAATTTCTACAAATTCTCTAAAAAAACAAAAAAAAAAATGCATATTAACAATGGCATATTTTGAAAAAGAAAAGCATTTGAAAGCAATCATATGTCAAATACATGTTCATTATCCGATTTGTCAAACACATGTGGCATTAAATAATACTACTAATTGTAGCTGGGAGGGAAGAATGATGGTTTCGACCAAATCCTGTTTATTGTGCTGAAGCTGAAAAGCTTGATATCCAGAAACAGAGACACTCTGAATGTATCTCAGCCAGAAAAAAAGAAATGTGTACAGCTCTCACTCAGATAAGTACACAAAACATTTCAGCAACACTGTCTGGGTGAATGACAGGAGGGAAGGACAGATAATTTAACACTTATCTGTACAGTGGCCATGTTCTTTGCAACCCGAGTCTATGACTCGCGCATAAGGAAGATATATCAGTGCTGGAAGAGAAAATCAGGAGATCTTGGTTTTTAGGTAAAACATACATACCCTGATAGCTTTTATTTTGATTGACAGCAGGTCTCCGTTTGCTAGATAGTTACGCTTTGTCTAGCCAGACTGCTGCTGCCGTTTAATGAAGCTTGGCTGCACACTAAACTCCCTTTGTTTAGCGATAAGAGCATTTACTTGATAAAATGAAGGGCATCACTTTGCACAATTGACCCTTTAGAGCAGTCTAGGCTTGTCAGCAGTCTGAAGCCACATTTGAGTGCCATCATAATGGCTTCAAACTTGAGGGTTTCTAAGGTGCAGACAAAGGTGTTGTCTTCCTTGAGCACCAGCCGTGTCCCGTTTTCTGACTTGATGAAATATTTAAACTGTATAACATTAGAGGAAATGCAGAACTCTTCAGGAAACCCATCCAGCCTACTTTTTGAAACAAGGATAATACGAGCTTTGATTTTGGATATGAAGTCAGGGGCATTGCAGAAAATACGCAGCCCTTGAGACCGGTCGTGATTATCTGTTATTTCAAGGAAAGTGGTCTCCCTGGCTGCCTGCTGTTCCTTCTCCCACCTGGATTTCACAGCTTCATTCAGTGCTTTCAGCTTGAAGAAGTCTGCCTCCTGTGCCAGAAGCTGGTTTTCTTGGAAGCCTTCAGGTAACAAGAGTTCCCCATTCCGGAGAAAGTTTAGCACATGCCTAAACAGTAGCCCATCCCTGTCTATGAAGTAGTGTCCATCTGCGTCAATGGGGCAGAAAATTTTTCTGTTCACAACTCCCTCAAGGTAAGAGTCTGGGTACTTGGACAAGGTCTGCTTTTGTGTGATATAAAGATATCCACCAACATTAAGTGTGACAAGAGCCGTCTTGCAATTTAAGCTCTGCTCTCCGTCCTCTGCATTGTGGCATTTGTCATCACACTCCTTCTCCCGTCTGTTGGTTCTGCGCTCCATCCTGAGCAACAGTGTGTTGCAAGAGCAAGCTGGCCTTGCTCTTGTTTGGTTTCAAAGCAAAATAATAAAGAGTCGTATTCGGTTCTGCCACGATGATGGAATGAAAATGCTGCCAGCATTGCATGAGCTGTCAGCTCTCTTTTGCAGTAGGTGGCGTATGAGCTATGCAAACAGCAAGATACCAGTAATACAGCTTGGAAAAGGAGCATTTGCATTTAACTGTGTAAGGGAAACATGCTCAGTGTGGACTCTTGCTTCCCTTGTGCAAAATTGTCCTCCCCCCCACTGTTTTTTTTTTTTTTTTTTTTTAAAGAAAACGTAACAAGTTATTGATAGAAATGTGTAAGGCTGTCCCATAGATACCAAAGTATTTTGATCAGTGGAAGGCAGCTTCCCTTTAGCCATTCCATCATTTACTGGCAAAGCATTGAGGCTATGTTGGAACTTGTAATCCTGCAGTAACTGTAAAGCTACAGGTAACTTGCCTTGGTTTAAAGCGTGGCATACTAACAAGTATTTGACCTATGTGTGGTAGTAATTTTGTGTTTGCACAGTGACACATGTCTATTGTTTACAGTAGCTGAAAAGACTCAAGTTGTAGACTGTGGGCATGTATGTGCGAAAGCTGAGAAGGGCTGCAAAAGGTCAATATGAGCGAAGAACATTTTTTTGGCTTCTTAGATGTTCTTGAAGGACAACATATCCTATGTATTTTTGCACAACATTCTTTAGTAACAAGTTTTTTAAATCCTGTTGTAATTTGAGTTTACAGTTTATAAGAGGCAAAACTGTTTTGCTTCTCCTGCAGTACTGGCCTTTTTAAAGTAATCTGTCATTGATAACCTCTCTAACAACGGTAGTTGCTTGGCTTTAATAGTTTTGTGTCAGTACACTGGAACAAGTATGCAAATCTTAAAACAGAAGTAATCTTCCACTGGACACTTGTACCTACAGCTAAATGTATAATAAAGCTTACCTTGTAGGTACAAGGAATATCTCCTAAACATGCACTATTTAAGAGATATTCACTGTCCTTGCAGCCGATGACGCATGCGCTTTGAAGGAACGGCATCCCCATGCCGTTCCTTCACAGCTCTGTGGCGCAGCCGAGACTCCCACACATGTGCAGGAGCGACGCCATCATGGCTTGGCCAACCAAGTGGCCAGAGTCCACGAACCCGGAAGGAAGACCGGGTGAAGATGGAAGCCCTGTCAGCGGTGACAGTGTGCTGCTGGAGGACTTCGTTCTAAGGTAAGTCTTTCATAATGTGATAGTATTCGACTCATACTAGTACATTATGACATTATTTTGCAGGGGAAATTTTTTTTTTTTTTTTAGTTTTGATTTTGCTCAGACTTTCCCTGCAGCTTACTGGTTCTAGATTAGTGAAAGTCAAAGTATGGAAGCCAGAGACAGCCAAATAATTAGCATTTTTGTGCGAAGAGCTTAGCAGTGGTAACATCAGTACATGTGTTATTTAAAAGGTTCTGGGGTTGCAAAATGAAAGTGTATGTGAACCCTTACTTTGCAAAATGGCCTATTCAGTTTAAAATAGAAACGCAAGGAAAAACGTGTGTGTATACACACTACTGTGCAAAAGTTTTAGGTGAGTGTGAAAAAATGCTGTAAATGAAGATTTTTTTTCAGAAATAGAAGTGTTAATAGTTTAATTTTATCAATGAACAAAATGGAAAGTAAATAAACAGAAGAGAAATCTAAATCAAATTAATATTTGGTGTGACCACCTTTTGCCTTCAAAACAGCATCCATTTTTCTAGGTACACTTGCACACAGTTTTTAAAGGAACTCAGCAGGTAGGTTATTCAGACATCTTGGAGAACTAACCTACGGATCTTCTGTGGACATAGGCTCCCTCAAATCCTTCAGTCTTTTCATGTAATCCCAGACAGACTTGATGTTAAGATCAGGGCTTTGTGGGGGCCAAACCATCAGGGCCTGGACTCCTTGTTTTCTAGGCTGAAGATCGTTCTTAAAGACATTGACTGTATGTCCTGTTGCAACATAAATTGGGAGCCAATCACAGGCCTCCCTGATGGTATGGCATGATGGATATATGTCTGGCTGTTTTTCTCAGCATTGAAAACGCAATTAATACAGACCAAATTTACAACTCAGTTTGCAGAAATACACTCCCAAACTTGCAAAGAACCTCCGCAATGCTTCACTGTTGTCTACAGACACTCATTGTACCGCTCTCAGCATTTCAGCAAACAAACTGCCTCCTGATACAGCCAACTGTTTAGAATTTTGACTCATTGTTCCAGAATACTTGCTGATATTTTTCTGCACCCCAGTTCCTATGCATAGTTGAGTTGCTTAGCTTTGTTTGCACATTGGAGGTTTGACTTTTTGGTCACAATTCTTCCATGAAGACCACTTCTGGCCAGACAATAAATGAGTGTGCTGCTGGTCATCTTTCGATGTCGCAGGAAAGTAAGCTTGATGTGTCTTTCATCAGACTCGTGAAGTTTCTTTGGCCAACCACTGTGTCTGTGGTCCTCAGTGCTGCCCATTGCTTTGAGGTTTTTGAAAAGAGCTTTAACAGCGCATCATTAAACCCCAGTCTGCTTTGAAATCTTTGCTTGGGACAGACCTTGCTGATGCAGTATAACTACCTTGTGTCTTGTTGCTGTGCTCAATCTTGCCATGGTGTATGACCTGTGACGTGAAACTGTTTCCACAACCTCACCTTAGTAGCAGAGTATGGCTGTTCCTCGCCCAGTTTTAAGCCTTCTACACAGCTTTTTCTGTTTTAGCTAATGACTGTGTTTCAGCTTACATATAAAATTGATGACCATTAGCACCTCCTTAGTATAATTGGTTAATCATACACCTGACTCTAATCCTTCAAAATGTATTTGTTAATCATACACCTGACTCTAATCCTACAAAATTTATTGATTTGTGTAAGTGTGCAAATGTAAGAAATGATGCTGGTTTAAAGCTGAAGGATAGTCACACCAACTATTGATTTGATTTAGATTTTTCTTCTATTAGCTCACTTTGCATTTTGTAAATTGCTAAAATAGTTAAATGATATACTTTTGAAAGCATTCTTACTTTCCAGCATTTTTTCACACATGCCTAAAACGTTTGCACAGTACTGTGTGTGTGTGTGTGTGTGTGTATACAGTGGGTATAGAAAAGAATCACCCCCTTTAAACTAATCACATTTTGTTGCTTTGCAAGCTGCAATGAAGGACACAGTTTTTGTTTTATCCAGCTGTATTTACTTAGTGCAATTTATAACATCCAAGTGAAAGATATAACACCAACATGTCAGAAAAAAAAAAAAACAAAATCACTGAGTTGGAAAACAAACATCACCCCTCTCCTAAAAATGACTTTTAAATTCAATCAGGTGCAGCTAATCACCTTCTCTATGGCACACAAGCCATTTGACTTTCAACTGGGATCAGCTGTAGTCATTGTGATTAACGGAGCATGAACAGTTTCCTGGAGCATTTCAGTCCCTGGTAGTGCAACTGGAGCAAGCAATCAACTATGGGTGGCAAGGCACTGTCAGAAGATCTCTGGGATAAAATTGTGGACAGGCACAAGTCAAGGGATGGATAAAAAAACAAAACAAAATCAAAGGCTTTATGAATGCCCATAAGCACTCTGAAATTTATAATGAGTGGAAGGTATTTAGTGAAACAAAGACCCTCCCTGGATCAGGACGTCACTCGAAACTGAATGAAAGAGCCAGGAGGAAACTGGTCAGAGAGGCCTACGGCAACTCTGAAGTGGTTGCAGGAATGTATGACATAGAGTGGTCATTGTGTGCATGTGACAATATCAAAATGTGGCTTGTATGGGAAGGTTGCAAGAAAAAAGCCACTCCTCCTACATGCAGTCACGACTGAGCTTTGCCAAAACGCACCTTGAAGATTCTGAGGCCACATGGAAAAAGGTTTTATTGTCAGATGAGAATGTAATTATTTGGCCTCAACACAAAACAATATGTCTGGCGGAAATCCAGGGATTGGAGCACTTGTCAGGACAGGAGGTAAAATGGATGGGGCAAAACTGCCAAATTCTTGAGGAAAATTTGCTGCCCTCTGCCAGCCAGTGTATGTTCTCTCTCTCGTGCTCTGAAGGTACGGCATGTCTGTGCCGTTCCTTCAGAGCTGTGCGCCATAAAAAGTGCACGTGGGTGTGACGTTATCATGGCTCAGCCATTCAAGCTGCGGGAAGAAGGACCTGGTGCAGGTGGAAGCCCTGTCATCGCTGCTGGTGGACTTTGTTTTAAGGTATGTTTCACATAATGTGCTAGTATACATACACTTTGAATATAATTCTGCAGGGCTTTACTGTCTGAATCCTGTTTATAGCCTGTAAAAAATATAGATATATTAGTGTTCCTGTAAAAAAAAAAAAGTGCTAATATTAGGTGTCTTAATCTTTGTTCTCTTTGAATCACCCATAAGCTCCTGAATTTGTCAAAAGCATTTAAGTAATTACAAATATGGAAACTATCATGCAACAGTAAGCATTTCCTAGAAATATCCTTGCCCTTTCAGACCTTGGACACTTTCTTGATACTACTGTTAGGGGCGTCAGGCTTTTTTTTTTCTTTTATATGCCTCTAAATCTCCCCTGCATGTTGTCCTATGTGTCCATGCACACACAGGCTTTTTGCAGTGTATTGTGGTAGGAGAGTTTAGTGGTAGAAGAAAAAACATTGCCAGGGTGTCCTGGGGCAGCGGCATTATGGTTAAAAAAAAAAAAAGCTTGATGCACTTAAACGCATGTAAATGCACCTAAGCATTAGGCGCATTTTGCACTTGAGCATTAATTTGTTTCAATGGCCAGAATAAGTTAGTTCTGGTCAATGAAATTAACGCCTAAGTGCTTGACGATTGTAAATGTGCCTAAACACTTGGAAAAGTGTTAGACATTTTTACAAGTGTCAGGCTTTTTTTCCAGCAAAAACACTGCTGGCTCTAAAGAGTTAACAAAAAAAAGTCCTGTGTGC